AATAAAACGTTTGGGAATAAAATTTAAAAACGAAAATAAAAAAAATTAAAAAAACCCGTTTTTTTTTTAAAGAAAAAAAATTTAAAAAATTAAATCATTAAGAAAAAAAAATCCCTCAAAATTTCGGGTTGGAAACTTGGAAATTATTTAAAAAAAAAAGTTTTTGGGTTTTTTAAAGAATACACCGATTCGTTTTGAAAACCCCAAGGGAAAAAAATTATTTTAAATTTACCAATAATTTTCCAAATTTAAGTACAAAAGGGTCAGATTTTTGTAGTGTTTTTTCAAAGTTAAAATTCAAAACCTTTATTTTTAAATTTAAAGATAATTTTTATAAATTATAAACGAGTTTAAATTTTAAAGTTAAAATTTATAGGTTCCCCAAAATTCTGCCCCTAATGAAAAATTTTTAAAATTTTTAAATATTTTCTATTAAAAAAACTTTTTTTTTGTGGGCTTGAGGTTTTTTTTGGGTTTTTCCCTTTTCCCCTTTTTTTTAAATTTTGGGTTTTTTTTTTTTTATTTTACCGCTTTTTAAGTTTAAAAATTTTCCAAAGGCGGCGACCCGAGGGGCCGGGGTGGTTTTGGCCGGGGCCGGGGGTGGGTTTAAAAAACCCCTTCAGGGGGTAAAAAGTTTTTTTGGGGAAAAGAAACTTTTACCTCATGGTTTTAGTCTGGTTTTTTTCCCAAGGAAACAATTCCCCCAGAAGGGGTTTTTAAAAGAAAAAGTTTCCCTCACAACCCGACTAAATAAATTGGTAAAAAAAAATAAAAAAACCCAAACCCCAAAATTTAAAAAAAAAAAACCATAAAGAAAAAAGATCACGGGTTAGGGGTCAATTCGAAAAAAAAACTACACTTTAAGATAATTGATTAAAAAAATTTTTGGGCACAAATCTCAAAGCCCCTTTCCTTTAAAGGGTTTTTAAAACCCAAGACAATAAATTAGCCCCGAAAAAAATTTTTGAAAAACTCAAAGGCGGTATTTTACCCAATTTTTTTACAGAAAAAAAAAGAAAATCTTTTATGTACATTTTAAAACCCATAAAAAATAATCATTTAGAGAAAGGGATAATTTGACTTGTTCGACCAGGACATCCATATTGCCTTACGTCCCTGTGATAAACTTATATATGCCTCAAATTTAAAAAAGGAAAATTATTTCTAAACCACTTGGGCACTTACCACGGAAAAAATATGCATACGAAACCAAAAAAAATATTCTTGGAAATTAATAAAAATTTTTTGTTATTTTTTTCCCTTTTCCAATAATTACTCGGGGAAAAAACAGTATTTTTAATGATTTGAACATTTGCACAAAAGTTTTTTGTTTCAGATAAAAAAATAAAGCAAAATTTTTTTAGTCCCGAAAATTATCAAAATTTTTTATTTGGAATTTCCCTTTAAAATTTTTTTTTATAACGGGTTTCAACTTGTCCCTTAAAATTCACGCCCCTTCAAAACTTTCCGTTTTATTTTCAGTGCAGACTGTTTATTATTATTTTTAAATTAAAATTTTTTTATTTTTATTATTATTATTATTATTATTAAGGGTTAGGGTTTAAATCAGACAGATAGCATTGTTATTTTTACGTTATGTAAAAAGGGTGCCATGTAAAAAAAATTACAAAATTTGAAATTTGCAAAAAGTTTTTATCTGTGGGGTTGACATAAAACGATTATAATGGTTCCCTTTTAATTCTGCATCCGTTTGATTTTAAAAATGTGTTTCAATTCAGAATAAATATGTCTTTTAAAAACCGAAAAAAACATTAAATTTTTAATCTTTTTGCTTATGTAGAAAAACATCCCCAAAAACAAAAATTTGTCGAGGGAAACAAGTTTTGATCGAATTTATAACGTTGTTAATTAAAAATTAAATTTAAAAATTGAATAATTATTTCTTAGATTCTATTAAATGATATAAGGCGTTTATTTGCCATTTTTTTAAAAATGTTTTACATGGGCAGCTTGTAAATGTAATTGAACAGTTTAAAGGGTTTTAAAAACAAATTTTTGTTTTTTTTAAGAACAGAATTTTTGTCCCTACAATAAAAACTTTATAAAATAAAAAAAAAAAAACAACAACAAAAACAAAAAAATTTTTTATTTTGATGAAAAAGGCCCCCCGGCCCCAAAAAATACACAATTTAATAAAAACAGAAAAAACATTTTTTAAGCTGTGTCTAAAATATACATTGTTATAATAAACATGTTTTCCCTTTGATTTTAAAATTTATCAAAAAATTTCAAAATTTCTTTGAAAAAAAAAAGCAATATTTTTTATGTTTTTCTTCTTTTTTATTTTTAAAATCAAATTACAAAAAATTAGGGAAATTGGTATAATCAGGGACGTACCATGGAGATATAAAAACTTGTCTTTTTGGGGAAAAATCTATTACAAAAAAAAAAAATACATGAAATTCATTTTCGATGAAAAAAAATTTGGGTTAAAATTTTGGAAAAAACAGTTTTTGGCAAATTCGCTAAATATCTAGGTCCCCCCCAAAATGTCGTCCGGGTTTCTATATATAATTTTTTACTAAAAACATCTAAACTCGAAAAATAATTTTTTAAAATAAAAGGGCCCATATAAAAGAAAAATACTTTTAGGATTTAACATAGATTTAAAAAATCTATGGGTTTCACATGGGGGTAAATTTTCTAAATTTTCCCTTCCATCCAATTTTGTTTTTTACAACCCAAAAATTTTCTTTTTTTTTAAATTACAAATAAATGGGTTTATCCCCCCAAAATTTCTTGACTTAACCAAAAAAGGGCCAAAACCCAAAAGGGGTATACAATAAGTTTTTTACTGAAGTACCCCAATTCTTTTTTCCCAAACATTACTTGTCTAGTTAACATCAAATAACAATTTCTATGATATCTATGTTCGGGCATACAAAGAAGTCAAACCCCAATTTTTTGAAAAATTTTTTTTACATATGATAATACTTTAAAGGGCCACCCTTTCCACTTTCCCTCCCAGTCCCAAACATTTCATTAACAGAAAAATTTACCCCTAGAAAATCTTTACAATATTTTATTTGAACTTTTTCAAAAATTTTCGGAGATTTCATTTCCATAAAGTTCGGCACCATGGGTAATTTAAAAGGTTTTTCCCAAAAAGATTTAAAATTAATTTTAAAAAAATAATCAGAGTGTAAAAATTTTCCCAAAAATTTCTTTGATTTTGATTTAATAGCTTAAATAGTTTTTTCCTTTAGCTTGTGCACAAAGTTTTTCCCTTTTTTCCAAAAAATAATTTGGGTTTGAAAATAAAAGACCCATATTTTTTGTACTTGGTTAAAATTTACTGAACTGCCGTTGTAAAAACCATTTTTCATTTTGATCTGAGGGGCCCAAACCCTTTTCAAAAATACAAAAATTTCATTTTTTATTCTCATTTATAGACATATTTTTAAAATTTAAAAAAAATTCTAAAATTTGATGTATTTAATTTGAATTTAACTTGATGTATTTAAAAAACACGAAAAAAATTGATCTGTTTATAGTTTTGAAAAAATTTTTTTAAAAAAAATTTTTAAAGATCAAAGCTATTGATGTATTTAAAAATTGAATTTAAAATTGATGTATTTAATTGATACTAAATTCTTAAATTAAAAAAAATTTACAAAGGGCAGGGGCGATTAATGACGAAAATATTTTTTTTTAGAATTCTGCTCCCATGCCAAGAATATTGATGTATTTAAGAGAAATCTTAAAACACATTTTTTCAGAAAGTTTGAATCACTTTTTTAAAATCTGAAATGAGATAAACATGAGTAACGCATAACTGCTGACTGACAGTGTGATGAATGTGCAATATAAATGAATGTTTTATTCTTTTTAATCTATTTGTAATCAAGTTACATGTATGTAAATAATCATATCTTATGCTACATGTATATCAATCAGTTTTATCATTTTATGGTCTCTACAATTTTTTTAAAAATATGTTAATTGGAATTGTATGTAAAAGCTTTTATTTCATTTGATGTTGATCCACATATTTTTATGCATTCACAATTTTATTCTTATTATTTATATGTACTGTACAACGCCATTGAATATTGTTAAATAGAAACAGGCGTTTAATTAAATAAAAAGTTTCAAGTTTCAAGTGAAACCAACGATGAAAAGCATTTGACTCTATCTCAATCCATTGAGAAATTATAGCACTTTGAAATCAATTTGATCGAAAAAAACATCAACGCAAAATATTGATTCTTGGCAATTTTGAGATGTCCCCTTGTTGCCATGGTAACGGGAATTTAAGACTGATCATGTTGTTACAAAGACAATGGTCCAGTCAACATTTGTGCCAAGTTTGATTAGTATTGATGCAGTTGTTCTTGTTTAATAGCAATTTGAACTTGTAACGGGAGACTTTTCAATGAAAATAGCCATTTTTCATAAAATGCTCATGAAGTAATGGATAAATGAAATTTTAAAAATTCTACAAAACAACAATTTTTCTTCAAATTTTTGTGTTAGGCCATATTTAAACATGAAAGAAACGCGATTTTGGGTAATTTCAGGTATTTTCATCATTTTCTGTTAAATAAATTATAAAAAATTCTACAAAACAACAATTTTTCTTCAAATTTTTGTGTTAGGCCATATTTAAACATGAAAAAAACACGATTTTGGGTAATTTCAGGTATTTTCATCATTTTCTGTTAACCCATTACCCGATAAACACGCCTTTTAACGCCTGTTTCACCTAACGGATGACAATATCCCTTTCTAACAACAATTGTATGCAATAAGACAGAAATTTAAAGAATAGGAGTAAATAATGTTTTACCAACTTACTGATATATGAAGCTTATCTTTAATCGTAGAAATTTATTACATTCGAGGAAATTCTTACGTATTAATTCTTATATGAAGAGGAAAAACTGTTTTGGAATCTGCATTCTTTATTACTGGTGTCTACCATACATAGTGCACTTAACATATCTTCTCTGATATACTCAAATGGTGTTTATTGAGACTGTATACTAATTAAGTAAAATGTGAAATAGTGAAGCATGATACAAGTATTTATGAAAAGGTAGTTGTAAATAATATCTAGTATTTACTGGAAGTTTCGTGCACAAATATTTTAGTCATGCACCTTCGTTCAGATATTAAGAAACATGCATCGTAATCAAGTCAGGTTGACCTAGTGACTCTGTATTGTCATAAAATACTTGAATGTTTATCAATGTCCTTCCCCTTCAACCATTATGTAACCATCGCATGAAATATGTCGCCTAAAGTATTTCATTTAACACTGCACCTGCTAATTTGAACATGTTACTGCATATAATTTCGGACACCTGTGTAGCACATGATCTGATCTATTTCATATTACATCGACGCTTAAAATATTAAAATCTTAAACATTATATATACATGAGACGATCATAAATGGTTAACTACTTAACACATAAAAATAGACATGCAAAAAAAGTAATCGTTATAAATATTTAAGACATAAAAATAAACATGTTAAGTTAAGATTTTAATTTTATTTTCAAGACATTATGTCTTTCTAATAATGATGTATAAGAATGGATAAAACACTTAAATATCTTTCATTTGTAGTATTCTTTTTTGCTGTTATTTGCTTTGCTGTTGTTCCGAACATTCTTCGTTTAATGGAAACCACTTCAAAAAACAATAAAATTTGTCTTCCGGCTGCAAATGGAAGGATACAATGTGGAGCAAATTTGTATGATTTACGTGATTACTTAAACAATGTAAGTTAATTTTTATAGAAAGATAATAAACTTCATACTTGGACAAACATTTACGTCTCTAATTGAGAAAGTTTACCTAGCTATGTACAAAAAGTTTTTATCAAGTGAAAATTGCAAAAAATAAAAAGTTGGGGTTTTTGTTTGTTTGTTTGTTTTTGTTTGTTTGTGTTTTTTTTTAATAAAAAGGTATTCTTTACTGCCTTTTCATGAGTTTTTATTAAACAGGTATATAAACATATCTTAATTCATTGCCAGATATTATATCAGTATATACACTACGATGTTATCTTTATAAAATGATAGAGCATTGCAAAGACAATTTACTGCATTTTCATGAGTTTTAAATAAACAAGTATATAAACTTAAAAACGGTCAATACTTAACGTTATATCTGCTTGATATCTTTCAAATTAATTACCTAAACTTATACCGGCATACTCTACATTACATTGGTATACTTATTAAAATTTAGAGCATTGCAAATACATACGTTAAAGTGATGAAAGAAGATAGAGACCATCAACAGAAGTACCTAGAAGACAACAAAGTTCGTTTGATGAGCGTTTCAGATCAATTTTTCTGGGAAGCAAAGCCATCAGCCAGTTTAAAAGGGAAAGAACAACCTGACACAATAACAGGTATGAAACCATAGACTATGCATTGCCATGACAGGTGAAAATTTGTAGAAAATATTTTAGCATTTTGAAAATTTATTTTATCAGACAAAGTCACCATCTGTTGCAAAAAGAGCACTGATTCTTTAATTTGCATGTATATTCAGATAAAGATATGAACAGGAAATTTGTTAAGACTTTTATGATTTCTAAAATTTCTTTATTTAAGTACATTTAGAAATAATATCAAATAACTTACACATTTTTAGATAAATGAGAAAGAAAAAAAAAAGATTTCACTGAAATAGAAATATTTATATTATAGATATAAAAGTGGCTGAAATGACAGCTATTACGGAATGGATGTACGATAAAAATCCTCTTAGCACTAGCAGTTTTTTAAGGAACGGAGTACGCTATAGGAAGGGTCGCCTTGTTGTACCAGTTGATGGCACATACTATCTGTATTCATTTATTGATTTATTTGAACCTTGTGATCAGTCAACTGGAAAACCAAACATTGAAGACTTGAGGAAACCTATAAAGCATGCTCTGTTTAAATTCAATATAGATACAGCAGAATCGGAGATAACTTCAAACATTCAACCTCATCATATCTCAAAGAACAAATTTTATAATTCGTACAGTAGCTATGTATCTATTATTGTAAGTCTGAAAGCAGGTGATGAAATTTCAGTTAAAGTTAGTTATATAAGGTACCTGAAATACACAAAAGATAACTCTTTTGGACTTTACCTGATATGAATTCAGAGATCCATGTCGCAAAATGTGCTTAAGATTGTGCCCCTGTGAAACAGTTACTAAATTTCTGATTATCAGCTAGTGTAAGTGCGAGACAATATAGTAGTTTTTCTCGTAGGCATGTAACCGGAGATTAAAAATCCTATTTTAAATAATTATAATTTATTTAAGTTACTGTTTTGCTAAGTAACAATGTTTTATTCCATGTATTTTTTATACTTATCATCCATTTTCTTAGAGAAACGTAAACACACTTTACTTTCAAGATATCCGTTTTAATTGCATTTTAGACAGTTTCTGGTACGTTACTATGACCGGCTTTAGCTAAATTTTTGACGGAATTATGTAGTCTGATTTTTGTGTATTTTCTCCGTTATAAGTTATAACGGTATAAACTTGTTTATGAGGCCATCATAATTGTAACAAAGTGTTTGATATCTATATTTATTTTTTCATAGGTCTAAGAGTCTATGTTTAATTTCTAGCGTTTTTGGTAATTCAGCCAGCCAATATTTATCGGTCGGACCAACCATTCTTTGGTTCCAATCTCAACCATTTTGGTAAACCAGCCACTTTAAACATTTTATTATAGTTGGGCTATATTTTGGGTATAAAAAGGCCCAGATGTTTGGTTGAACTGCAGAGTCTTGATTAGAACTACAGGGAGAAAAACCTGTTTCGTTAATTTCCAAGTTTGGGCGGAAAATTGATAAAAGTTGTATGCTGCATTACGTATAAAAGGAACGCTTCGTGATAAATTACGATTATTTTTTGGAATAAACAGTACTGAGCTACATGTATTTTGTTTTAGGGATTTTGTCTTAAAAACTTGCTTTTATAAAACCCTGTAGACTTATAAAGAAGGTACACGCATGAAGCCTTATAACTTAAAAGGAGCTTTAATTCATTGAACGATTTTACATAAATAGGACTTGAAAGATCAATATTAGAACAGAATATATTAGATTAGAAATGGACAAAGGCAATACTGTAGGCATGATATAATTCTAGATCTACGAAAGGCATTCGATGCAGTTGGCCACAACATACTGCACATTAAACTTAGCATTAGCACTAAGCATCTGACATAGGCAATGACATTTTAACATGGTTTAAGTCTTATCTCTCTGATAGACAGCAGCTTTTGGATGTGGCTGGTACTCATTCTACTACTGCTCCAATTACATGTGGTGTCCCCAAGGGATTCATTCAAGGCCCTCTTTTATTTTAAATATATTTCAATGACATGACTGCATTCATAACCAATATGCTTTTGTTAAATGGTATCCTTGTATCCGGTAAAAATAAATCTGAGGATGACGAAATTCTCTATCTTATGACATGAGTCTTATGGGTTATTGGTTAATCGCCAATAAATTGTGTTTGCTTCTTGGCAAGACATAATCTATTCTTTTTGGGTCCAAGATTAAACTTAAACAGGATCCTAACCTCCAGGTGACACGTAATGTTCTGTTATAAAACCCACATCTTCTGTTAAGTATTTAGGTGCAACTCTTTATCAAAATCTATCTTTTGAGGCCGTGGAATAAAGTATTTTTCAAAAGGCAAATACCAGGTTATTGTTTCTTCAAAGGAAACGGGATTACCTTACCCAACATAATAAACAGTTATTTGTTATGTCTTTGCTACAGTGTCATTTTGACTATACATGCCTATACAATCATGGGTTAACACATGATTTTTTCTAAAAAAATCCAAACAAAACTGAATAAGTTACTGAGATTTGTATTTAAGCTATACAGTAGACCCAATATGGTGAAGAACATTTCAAAATACTGAATTCCTTACTTGATGAATACCGTTTGGAACAAATCATTTTATGTCACGTTTTTAAAGTCGTACTTGGCCTAGCCCAAGTGTACATGAGTGATAACTTTATTCCTCAAAATACTGTCATGCATGAAGATTATCTTTTAAAAATAGTGCTTATATAACTTTCTAAATAAATCTGTCTTTCAAATTAGGTTGAGACTGAGATAACTTATTTATTTATTAGACACACAAGTATTTAACTATCTGTGATATAAATTTTCAGACATGCTCTTTTATATAGCCACTATCTACTTTTGTAAATAGAATTGCTTTTAACAACATCTGGAATGTTACTGAATGTTTTTATAAACATTTAAAGACAGAAAATAGGTAAATTGCAGATTAGCACCACCCTTAGTTTTTATGAACATCAAATTTTAGAACACCCATTGCTACTGTGATACAAATTGTGATCACATGCAGAGCTCAGTCTCATGTCTCATACGAGATCTCGTATTTGATAAAAGTAAATTACATGGGATGGATGCAAAAGAAAGATGTGATTGCACGAGAATATCACAATTGTCAACGTGCAACCTTAAATTTAGATTTGAGCGCCCTATTTTGTTTAATTAATCATATTTGTGCTATATTCATGGGCATGTCCAAGTTCCCATAGGGACCTTTATGCAAACACATAAAATAGGTTCTTTTTTAAGTCGAGTACAAAGTAAGACTATAATTGTTTCTAAAATAAAAAGAAGAATAATGACATATGCATGATTGCAAAATTACTTTTTATGTTCAAAAGTTTGTTTGTTTTGGGTTTTACGTCACACCGGGCTTACCATAAATGTGATGATAAAATGATAAAATGATCTTAAAAATAATTTGATTTATACTTATAACTTGCTAAATAGTGTACTAAACAATAATGTAATTATTCAACTTCATTCAAATAGAAGTAAAAGACATTTTTCTAAACACTTCCTTGATTTAGATTTTATGATTTTGCAATTTATGTCGTTTTTAATTGAATAATAAACATTTTAATACACTATATCAATTAATGGTCAATCACCATGATATTAGTCAATCGTTTGACATAAATTTTTAATTTAACTCAACTTGACAACGAAAAATTAGCATAATGTCATTTTAAATAAATAGTCTAAGTGTTGTTGTTTCTTTTTAATTCTAAAGTTAGCTACATAGCCAATTTCATAACATAATACTTGCATAGTTATTTTACATCCTACGTACATAGCGCCTGAATAGTATATCACATTTTGAACATAATTCTCAAAATACATGTAACAATAAGTCTCTTATTTGAAAAAATTTAACTCAGGTCTTGAAAAGAAATACTACTTTTAAACATGTATCATGGAATACAAGCAATTCTTACATGACAAATTAAGTCATCCATATATAACATTTAGGTGAAACGCTCGCCTGTTTTATTTTATTTATTCTTTTAGATGTAAGAGATGTTTGTATATAAATTTATACATGTATTATGTAACAATAAGTCTCTTATCATTCTATTGAATATTGGTCATATATCTTTTATTTATTTGACCAAAACTTATAATTGTTATGCATACGAAAAATACTCAAGACAAAACTAAAATAATAAAATACAACTGTTGATGTCCGAATCGTTACTTTGACTATTGCCTAGATGGGTTATATATAACAATAACGTAAAAAATGCAGATGTAATGAAAGTGTCTAAAAGAATTTTTTCGTCAAACTTACATTGCGGTAAATGATATTTAGATAACGTTTTCTATTATTGGTTGTATCATGCAGAAACATGGTACGATTATGTTTTGTTTGTTTCTGATTGTAAAAATCTTGCCATCATCGTCCTTTTTCACCGAATTCATATACATTTAAATATATACAGTTTTGGAAGTAAAGCTCTGTATGGCGGCTGTTGCCATATTCTACATTTTCAGTTTGGTCATAACTGCATGATCCTTCAGGATATTATATCACTATTTATCAATTTCTTAACAGCTGAACACTTCATCAGACGATGACAGTGCTTGTGATCTAACGGTAGTGCACATGTTGTCTTTGCCCATGGGTCTTTTTTATTTCGTACGATGATATTTGCATCATCATATCATCCAACCGGTATACTAAGACACCTTTATTGAGTAAAGGTTTAACAAAAGTCGTCCCTTAAACGATTTCTGTATTTGCAAAATCATACTTCCTTTATTCAAACGTGGATCATTAAAGTACCATGTTTCTTTATCCATCTCCTTATCCACCCAAACGATAAAATCAATGAGAAACACTAATCATTTCACTTTTTTATATACATTATAGGGTTTTCAAACATTATTCTACTGCCAGAGTAGCTCTTGCCGAACATAACTGAAATGAATAATGAAATATACAACTTTATTAACTAAAATGGAAACGCGGACTTCTTTAAAAGGCTGTTTAATAAATCAAAATGTAAACTTTATTTATACTAAATAAAAGCAGAAAAAAATCATTGTAATAGTTCATGAATAGAAACATGAATTAATATATATCGTCCAGTAAGATAAAAAGTCATTAACAATTAATTAAAGTTACTTAGTGTGGCGAAGTTCCCTATCATTTAAACCTTAACATGTTTTTTTTTTTCACACATCTTGCCACACTGGTTATAAAACACAACATTTCACATTTTTAAATGTTAATTTTCTTTCAAATTTATGTTGATAATAACACGATAGTTAAATCATTAATTTCTTTAATCCAAATTTATTCAAGTATAATTCCATAGGTCTAAACTCACTGAAAATCTTACTAAAATGTGCTCTCAATAACAAAACGATTTTAAGCAATAATTCCAGCCATATTTGCACGGGAAAATAATAAATACGAAAAAGCACCGACAGTTAGGACACCGACATGATTCAATGCAGACGTTGCATTATTTTAACGAATGTACAAAAACTACAAATATACAATAATAAGAACATAAAAGGTGTATATCACTTGTAACACACATAATCAAACATGTGTAATAGAGAAAGAAAATACATATACAATTGATTTTGCGTAATTCGCGACACTTAGTATCACGCCAGAATATGAGTGAAAATAAATTTGATATCTTTATTAATGAAGACACAAAACCTACAAGACTGTGTCAAAATTTACATATGTAAGACATCCTGTCAAGATATCATCACATTAGAATTATTTTTAGTCAGTCGGTCATTCATACTTAGAATAACAATTGCTGGAATGTATGCTCAATTATCTAATTAAGGAATGGAACAGTTTATTAAATCCTTTTAAGGAGTAAAAAAGGTTACTTATGTTTAATAATTCGTGAAATAGGAGTTCAATAAGGAGTACCTTATCATAAGTCATTTTAGTACGCCTTTTAAATCTATATTATTATGTAGAACATCAAAATTTGACTATTGGACAATGTCATATGAGCAATCCTATAATAGAATTAGCTTAAACGATTTTAGGTTAATCAAGTTTTATTTATGACACTTTGTCTTTTATTTGATGTCCCAAATCACAAATAGAGCTGCTTTTTATAAACTTAAAATTTAATTCAAAATTGTAAAACAAAATTGTACTTTTTAAAGAAATATGTAAAGGGATATGCATCGTTAGAAATTGAAAAAAGAAATGTTCAAAATCTTTAAAACTGATTCAAACAGATTAAAGAAATCTTAACGTTTTATGTACAGTCATGTTGAGAAGATAACGCAGTTACTATAAATATTGTTTCATTTTTCATCTTCTGACATTAGCTACAATCTTATCGTCCAAATCGGCACATTATTTGAGTGGCATCCTCTCTACTTCATGGTCAACTTTATTCATAACTCTAGGATAACTTTTTATGTTACAAACGAACTTTTAAAAGTGCTTATTTTCACAAATCACAATTCTAGATGATCACCATTCTGGCGAGTAATATTAACAGCATTGCTCAGGTCGCTTCGCATGCCTATATTAAAAATGAAAGAAATTTATATATTTTACTTTCTTCTCCCGCGTAATAAATCAGTTACACTAACTCACATTATAACCTCAAGACGCTACATGTGGTCCCCATACAGCGCTGTTCGATTTTAAATTGTTTTGATAAAAAATATCGATTCATGTTTATGGCAAAAAAGGTTGGGAAAAAAGCTTTAGATAGTAATTAACAACGGTTTGTAAACACAATCTGACTATTTAAACGTTTTCATGATTCCAATAAGAGTGTTTATTAAATATTCATGAAATATGTCAAACAAAATATCTTTAAAAATACCCATTACGTTAATGTTAATAATAAACCTTTCTTAATTTAGAGGAGTTTCCAATACGTTTCTGTTGTGCAATGAGGTTTACGTAGTCAACTATTTTAAGGCTTAACTATTAATGTTTTTGTACGTCGAGTTTACCTATTATACATGTATGTTTATTTTAATGTGTTATGTAATTGAAACTGTGATAATTAGGTTGACTTCGAAAACTAGGTGTGAAATTCTTTCATAATTGTATAATGGGACCGAAATTTGACTGAAAAATAGGAGGTATTCGGATAATGCATTTCGAATAATAAGTTCGTATTTATATTGATTTAGATAGAGATAAAACGAGACCGCCGACATTCTTCAGATAATGAATAACCGGAGTCGGACTGTAAATGGTAAATTTGCGTGAAAAATTTAGTGTCAGATTGACAGGGAATGCACAGTGCGTGGCTATTAGGAGTTAAAATGATAAACTGAGGAAGTGAAACGTAATAGATATGAAAACAGAAAATGTGAATGTTAATCATATAGACGTTTTCCAAGTTGTTACAAGCATTTTAGCTTTTATTTCTCTTATACTTCTCTTGTTGGTGGTTTTAATTTGTTATTTCATTTCACTAGAATCATCGTATTCAAAAACTGGATTTTATGATAAAGTTCTGGACCAATATTCAATTCCTTGTGTAAATGTTTCGTTGAGTCCGGACGAAGACTTTAGCCTTTTCACCATTGACAAACATAAGGTCGTGACTTTTAAAGAGAAACACAGTTATTTTTGCAAATTCGTCAACCTTACAGATTTGATTCCAAAGGTAAGAGATTGCTAAGGATTTTAAGATTTCTAGCTTTGGATTTAATTATTTCAGGATTCCACACATATTAAGAATATATTGAATGTGTTAAACTAGCCTTAAAAGATGTTACGTTAATTTGTAAACATACAAATAATGACAAGGGGCAATTTAATTTTATTATTTCATATTCTTAAATAATATTAATATTACCAACAATAATTTTTACAACAAATTAACATTAAAGACCCAAAACCTGCAGTTAATTTTAAAAATCTTTATTGTTGCCTTTTGTTGTTTGTTCTTTAATTTTTAGTTTGTTGATCGAATTGGAAGACAAAGGCTTGCTACAGGTACAAATATCTTTACTTCATTTTAGTTTTATAATTAAGAGTTGAAAGAATTGTGGTTATTTTGATTTAAATATCAAGTCACAGAGTGAACAAATAAGCTCGAGTGAAAAACTTGTAAGTTTTTACTTTAAATAAAAGTTCTATATGATTTCATTTGTCAATTTTTCATAAAAGTCGATATCTTATCGAGCTACCACAATCGAGTAGCGTTTGTGTATTCAAAAGACTGCATTTAAGTTTATAGTCATTAATTCTATTTTAGGAAAGGAAAAGAGACCATATCTGCAGTGTGGAAACACCAGCCTTCAACCGTTATCTGGACACTTGACTGCATTTTATACCAAGATTTCAAAGCAACATTATAGTAAGGGTCAACAACGCTACACTATTTCAAATACCATACAAATTTAAGCAATCTAATGGTTATCTATTTTAACTTATTATTTTTTATGTAACAAGTACTAAATGACGAATAAAATCAAAGAATACCCCTACTCTCACTTTTGAAGTTTGGAACTAAGTTGAATTCAACGTATATTTTTCGATGAGTTAAGTATAATTATCATAACTTTAACTGAAGTATTGATGTATTATTTAAATATTAATATCTCTTTTGTCAATATTATTCATATATTTAATAATTCAATGTATTTCCGTTCAAACAGTAAACAAAAGTCATACAGAACAACCGCTGCATTGGGATACAGAGCCAAAGAGTTCATATATTTCACAAAGTTTACATCATCACGAAGGCAAAATACGAGTACCAGAAGGTCGATACTATTTTGTTTATGCAGCTATACACGTCAATTTAAGTTCATCTCCAACAGAGACTGACATAAATTCAAGATGTACTGTTTGGATACGAATATGTACGGGGACTACCCAGGAACGGGAACGAACAGTTCTCTACAAATCAAAATATTTCAATTCAAAGAATATGACAACTGTCACATCCTTAAATATACAGGGAGCGGTATATCTTCCAAAAAGAGAAAACGTTTTTGTCAAAATGTCAAACATTCATACGCTTATTTCTAACTCGGCTGGAAATGTTTTCGGAATTTATCCATTAAACTAAAAATCCTATGTTTGATTACGTGTACTTCTGTTACTGTAAAATAAACTTGATTAACCTTTTACTGTTTGATGTTTTGATGTTGTAACTTTAAGTTCTTGTGTGGAACTTCGCATATGTTGGCGTATTTGTACTTTAGTACTTGTATTTGAGTTTAGATATCAAGTTTATGAAAAGCGTATTCCAGGCTTGTCTTATTCATTCTTTAAGTGCATGTTGTACATGTAATCAATATTTTTGTCGGCACACCGAATTTAACATTAAAAAATTCCACCGTAGGTATGTAACCGAGTGTAATAAATTAAAAATACATGTATAAGAATAATAGCCCGAATTTGAAATCCTAATGTAAAAAAAACAAACACAGCAATTATTGTATTTTTATTTAAATCGTTATATTCGCCTGTTGTGTTTTCATCATTAAATCAATAAAGATTAAACGTATTAAAGGGGCGTTCAGTGATTATGACAAATTTATGCATTATACATACGCATATTAGATACCAATCTGATATACTCACTACCTAATTACATCTGACATTTTATTTTCAATTTAATCTTACTCGATTGTGACACTGAGAATAAGTTTTGTAAGAAAATCAGGTTAAACTTTAATAAGCGTTCACTCTCAACAAACAAGAAAACGATAATAAAAAAACCCTTCACTTTGATAGCTTACCACATATATCATACAATATCCTTGAGCATACACATTGTCTAGGTTAAAATAAAAACCAAATCATTTTGGTAACTTTCCATTACATGCTTATCATTTCAAAAAAATCCATGACTGAAATGTCACGTATTTATAGAAACAGATAATATGCTTGGATCAAGTACAAGAAATGTACGTTTTTTTATTTCAGGTAAGGACGGGGTCATAAGTTTTAAAACTGTTTACATTAGAAGATAAAAGAAATATCATTATAAACCATAAACTATTTTTTTGATGTGTCCGAATATGAATTGCAAAATATCTTTGAATAATAGTTAGTATATAATATTGTGACAGAACGATTGACGATAATAAACATTGAATAAGTTTATTCTTGGCAGCGATACAACTTTTATTGAATTTTGTATCTGTTGAATAATATTTATATCAATGTCATTGTAAAAAGTATTGCCAAAGTTTGACAAAATTATTCTTTCAGAACACTAGACTTAATTAAAAAAATGTATATTATAGATCTCGGATTTTAATTTCAATACCACGGACTGTTAAAGTGCTTTATAACAGGAATAAATCATGCACATAAAGTGGATAGATTTGATATGATTTATCTACGGCATTGTCGAATGATATTCGATATGTTTTGGTTTTTGTTTTAATGCTTTCATATAAAACCTTTTTATAAAAACTATATTAAACGATATTTTTGTATGACTTAATAAAAAAATTACTAATGCGCTCGGGTTATGCTACCTTAACCCAAAAATGTTACAGAGGACATGCAAGTTAAAGCTTATAATAAGAACATAAATGAAAACAAAACAATAACACTTAAATGTTTGGAAACCATAAATATATAGTTTAATCGGTTTAAATGCAATTTAACGCTTAGTTAACTAGTGATATATCGACTATGTAAAAAAAAAACACATTCTGTGCAATTTAAACACCTACAGTATATATTGTAACTTTGAATCACGCGTCCGTTCGATGGTATACGTAGTCTGTATTAAGAATCGTTTTACGATGAATAACATTAAAAATATTAACATTAAAGTATTAAAAATACCTACATTCTGTGAATTTGACAAATACCTTTTTGATTTTTTTACATGCACAAACGCTTTGATTTATAGCAAATACACCGATCGTTTGTGTGAACAAGAAAATAAATAATACAAAGTAAATTTCCAAAGTTAAGTACAATGTAACATGTGTAGTGATCAAGTAATTTAAACCTGATAATAGATTTAAAAGATCAATTATATGTTATAAACGAGTTAAAAAGTTAGATTTATAATAACATAAAATGTTCTGTCCTTATGAGATCAAATATATTTTCATATTTCTATTTAAATATATTTTTTTGGCATGCGGCTGTGTGCTTTCTACATTATTATTGATTTTTTATTGAGTTTTAAATCATAGCGGCGACAAGGCCGAGTGGATTGCTGGCCGAGTGGGTTCAAACCACGTCAGGGGTAGCCGTTGTTTTCGTGAGCAAGAAACTTTACACTCGTTGCTTAGTACTAGTGGGTTCCAGAAACTGATTTAAGAATGTTTCAATAAGCTTATAGCTTCAAACAAAATCCAACACAAAAAAAAAACCCAACACAAAATGAAAATGAAAGACTCCTTACTCCTGATAAGCACCCATTCATAATAAAAGACTACACGTTGAGATAGGCTGTCTATACAAATGCTTGCATAAATGATCTCAGTCGTTCTAAGGTAATATCATACAATAAAAGAGCGGCAGAAATCCACTTTGTACTCACTGTAGAATTAACTAAATACTAAGATTTAAAGAAAAAAAACTGATGATGAAAAATTGAAAATTCAATGAAGAAAAGTCGAAAATTACAATAGTGAATAGTCAAAATTAAGATGGTGTTATCACGAAATAATATCGCGTTTTCACCACCGTGGTTTTTTTTTGACTTTTACTTTTTTTACTTTCGTACCTTGGCCAAAATGTAATTTCGGTAATAAGACTTTTCACCAACGTAATTTCGTGTTTTCAATGTTTAGAGTGTTTGCCACGATGGCTTAAACGAGGCACCGTATGTCGGTGACCGTTTCCAATAACGATTGTATACAATAATAATAGAAGTTATTTTTACATAGTCAAACATGACACTTAAATTTTAAATTGGCCAAGGTATTGCATTTATACATTTTTATGTTTAGACATTATTGAATGTTCCTATTATGCCTAATCAAATAACCACATAGGTTGTTGGAAATTATCCAAGCATTTAAATAACTACGTCGATAACATTGGGCTAAGTGAATCCCAGGGGCTAAGTACATGAAACAATATAACATTAACAAAGAACGCAAAAACACCAAAGTAACGTTATCATTAACTTTGAATATTTTGCATCGGTATGTACATCTCTTCTGGTTTCAACGCACCTCATTATCGATTGATAAACAGTTCTTCTGTTTTGAAAGCTAATGTTAGTCAACAGTTTAATGAAATCACTAATGTATTAACACGTCAGTGATTGTGTTAATTTAACAAGAATTACATTGATTCATAGACATTTTATTTTATTTATAATACGTGTGATAGTAAAGTTTAGTGCTTTTTTGTAACTTTTTATCATTTTTTACTGCACATTATAAAGTATAAGAATGGATAAAACGCTGGAATATCTTTCAATTATATTATTTATTTGGGCTGTTTTAACTATTGCTGCTGTTTTGACCGTTCTTTGTTTTATTTCGATCACTACTCAAAACGATCAAATTTGCCTTCCAATTGCAAATGGGAACATACAATGTGGAGCAACCTTTTATCATTTACGTGATTATCTAGACGAAGTAATTTGATTCTTTTCACATAAAGCTTAATACTTTGCCTTAGGCAAACATATACGTCTCTAAATGAACAAATTGATCTATCTATGGACAAAAAGATGTTATCAAATCAAAACATAACAAAACTGAGAAAAATAATGTTTTATTTTGTCTTTGTTTAGTAGAAATATTTTTCTTAGACTGTATCATTTATTCAATTTACTTCCTTTTTTTAAAATAAACAAGTATACATGTATAAACATATAAACGTTTCCGAATGCCCATTGAATATACTGTAAAACGTTATATCTGCTTGATGTCTACAAATTAAATGCCTGATATTATACCGGTATACTCTACATTACATTGGTATACTTATTAAAATATAGAACATTGCAAAGACATACGTTAAAGTGATAAAAGAAGATTGAGACCAGCAACAGAAGTATTTAGATGACAACAAAGTTCGTTTGATGAGGGTTTCAGATCAATCTTTCTGGGAAGCAAGGCCAGTTTAAAAGAGAAAAAAAACCTGACACATTAACAGGTATGACACGATATACAATGACATGACAGGTGAAAATCTCTAGAAAAACTAAAAAGCAAAATATTTTAGCATCTTGAAAATTTATTTTATCGGACATAGTCACCATTTGTTGCAAAAGGAGCATTGATTCTTTAATATGCATGTATCAAATATAGATATGAAACTGGAAATTTGTAAGGATTTTTAGGATTTCTAAAATTTCATTATTTAAGTACATTTAGGAATATCAAATAACTTCCACAATTTTAAATAAATATTAAAACAGCAAAAAGAAAACAACAAAAAAAAAAAACGATTTCACTAAAATAAAAATGTATATTATAGACATGAAAGTTGCTAAAATGGCACATATTACGGAATGGATGTACGATAAAGATCCTCGTAGCACCATCAGTTTTTTAAGGAACGGAGTACGCTATAGGAATGGTCGGCTTGTTGTACCAGTGGATGGAACATACTTTCTATATTCATTAATCGATTTTTTGAACCTTGTGATATATTTTATTTGAACCTTGTGATATTTCAACTTGAAAACCAATTATTGAAGACTTTAGGAAACCTATCAAGCATGCTCGGTTTAAATTCAATATAGATACAGCAGAATCTGAGATAGTTTCAAACATTCAACCTCATCATATTTCAAACAAAAATTTTTATAATTCATAAAGTAGCTATGTATCTATTATTGTACGTCTGAAAGCAGGTGATGAGATTTCAGTTAAAGTCAGTAATATAACATACGTACGATACACAAAAGATAACTATTTTGGACTTTACCTGATATGAATTCAGATAACCATGCAAATAAAAACAAGTCATTTTGGTAACTTTCCCTAACCGAAATATCATGTATTTATAGAAACAGGTAATATGCTCGGATCAGAAAATTACGTGTGTTTAATTCAGGTATTAAAGGACGGATAAGAATAAAGATAAATGATATAAAGGTTAAAACTGTTGACATAAGAGTTATGATTATAAACCTGACGAACCAGAATATGAGTTGCTTAATATTTTTGCAAAGTAGTTAGTACATAATGATCGAACGATTTATGATAACAAACTTTTTTTTTTTGGCACTGATAAACTTTTATTGAACTTGTTATCTATGAGCTAATATTTAAACGTCATTGTAAAAAGTCTTGCCAAGGTTTAGCTAAATAAATTTGTCAGAACACTAGACCTAAGTTTGAACGCATGTGCGTTACAGATCTTTGTTGTCAATTTCAGTATCACGAACTTTTAAAGTACTTCGCCAATGCTAATACCCTCCCCCCCCCCAAAAAAAAAAAAAATCAAAAAATCTAAAATATAAAAAAAAATCCCCATACCCACCCCCTAAAAACATAAACAAAACAAAATCACCAGCAACAACAAAAAAAAACAAGAAAAAGGCACAACAGGCGTGTGCTCTGTACGTTCTTTATTATTTTTGTTTTTTTAAAAATTGTGTTCCCGTTTTAAATCAAAGTGGCGGCGTAGACGAGTGGCTGACAAGCAAATAGCTTCCAACACAATCGAACTAAATTAACTAAGTATAGAAATTTGAAGACAGCTCTTCTTGAGGTGCCATTTTTGAAACTAGTGAAAGTCTTCGCCCTTACGAAATAGTAAGCAAAATGTTGGGGGGGGGGGGGGCAAATAAAAAACAAATCAACAAAAAAGAAACAACACACAAACAAACAGAAAACAGACCCCTTCACTTCAAGATAAAGTGATTAAACAAATGCTTGCAGACAATCTTAGTCGTTCTTAGGTTATACCAGACGATGATAGAGCGAAAGAACACTTATGTACTCAGAGGAGTATACACCCAACACTGACAGATATATAGAAACTCTTTTATGCACATATATACCGATTAATAATTAGCTTAGAGTGCAGATAATTTGCCATGTCCGACCATGACACCCATATTGCTCTTGCAGTGATAAACTTATATAAAAGATTGAATTATTGCATAGATCAGTTGGGGCACTTTCAACAGAATATATGCTTAGAGTAATAAAATGATATACTTGTAATTAAATAGAACACGCTTTTCAAGTTTTGGTCATTTTTCACATTTGAAATAAGAACTGTGGTGGGAAAAAACAGAGTGTGCCAATAATCTGAACATTTGCACACAAGTAATTGCTACAGATATCAAATGGTATATAGATATCGAGCAAATATGTTTAGTTCCGTCATATCAGAAACCTCAGAAGAGTTCCATTAAAATATCTTTTATAACATCAGTCATTAATGGTTATTATGCTAAAATCACAACACTTATCCACCTATCCTTTCATTTTCTTAGAGCAGTGCAGACTGTTTATTATCATCATAATTATCAATTTATTTTGATAACCATACTGTTAGCATTGTAACTTGCGTTATGTTAGTATCTAAGTGGCAAATATCCATACCATTTCTCTTTTTATTTCTTACAAGATTGAAAAATGCAAGAGTGTTAGCCGTTTGTTGACATACATTTTTAGTAAGAGGAAGTCTACCATTTAATCTTGCATCCTTTAGATATCTAAATGTGTTTCAATTTCGAATCATATGTCTTTTCAAAATCGAAGAATACATTGATACCAACTGATGTTCATGTAGAAAAACTTCTCCAACGAAAATTTCTAGACAAACAAGATGTTTATGCAAACTTGATGGAAATTGGATAATTATTTCTTTAGGTTCTAGCAGAGACATAGATTTTACATCTCTGTAAACTAATTCTAGATATTATATAAGACGTTTACTTGCCATTCTTTCAAATGTATGTGTGGCGGGGGGGGGGGGGTGGGGGCGTCCTATGAACGTTGCATTTGCCTTGTTGATCTTTATTCTTGTTTTTTTTACATTCGCAGCTTGAAGTGAAATTGCGATAGTGCTGCTTTTTCATGTTCAAGAAATGATTTTTTCCAACTACCAGAAACGCAAATTCTGTAAGTTTTTTTACAAGAAAATTTGAAATTGGTAAATGTTAATATTTGGTAGCAAATTTCACCAGGGCCGGTGGCTGTAGGTACAGTGTATGTAAGGGCAATGGCGATACACACATAACTCAAACCAACGAAATAACGATTGTAAATAGTCCAAACAACGAAATCACGATAGTCGAAGGTCGGATGATAAAAAAAGTCGAAAGTACGATAAAAAAAGTTGCAATAAGAAACTTCGATGTGAAAACACGATATTTCTTCTTGATTTCATCATGGTACTTTTAAAATTTCCCTACCGTTGTTTCGTTATTACGATTTTTTACCATCGTACTTTCGACTTTTCATCATCGTTGTTTCTCCTTCTTTTTAAGCATGCTTACTAAATGAGAACGCACATCTGTATGCTAATAGCCATCAGCATTGTTATTTCTTTATTATATATATGTAATTCTCTTTGAACGCATGACAGAAAGAAAAGCGATCTACGATGGTGTTAATTAGAAACCACAACGATGAACTGTCGGACTACTATGGGGAAAAGTCGAAACCACTATAAGGAAGTCAAAGCACGATGTTGAAAAGTTGACATAACGAAACCTCGACGGTGAAAAGTCAGTGGTACAATGATGAAAAGTCGAAGGTACGATGGTGAAAATACGAAAATACGATGATGAAAAGTTGAAACTACGATGATAAAAGTCGAAAATACGATGGTGAAAAGTAGGAATATCGAAACCACGAGAAGGATAAGTCAAAATACGATGATGGAAATTCGAAATAACGATACAACGAAAATAGGATAGACAGAAGTCAAAAGTATAATGGTGATATCACGAAATAATATTGTTTTTTCAACATCGTTATTTCACTTTTCACTAATGTAATTTTGTGTTTTTCATTATTTCGAGTCGGTGTGTGCCGCAATGGCCATTACAGGACACCGTATCCAGACGATATACATTTCCATTAACGACTGTATAAATAAGATAAAATAAAGAAAAATAGAAGTATAGAAGTAAAAAATCGGTAAGCAACTTACTGATATTTTAACGATATCTTTATGACAATCCTTTCGTCGTAGAAATTTAAGATATTGTTTTAAATACTGTGTTTTCCTTGAACTACAATGATGCTGATTTTTTTTCACAAGGTTTTCTTAACATAATATAATTATTTAAAATCGAGAGAAACCAGTGTTTGATGAATCGCCGATGGTACAGTATGTACTTAAGAGAAATTCCCGGGTGTCCGTAGATGACCCTACAAATTCCAATTTAGCTTTTCATGTTTCACTCTTTTGTTTTGCGGTCACAATTTAATTGTCTGATAGAAGACCGTTTATTTCCGAAATGCCTCCTTATTGGAGAATTCTTAAAACCTCCGTAGATGAGTTGCAAAATACTTTAAAGTGAATTTAAGAAAAAAACTTACGAGCGTTTTGTGAAACAAACAATTTACGTAAAATTAAACGTTAACGTAAAGTTATGAAAAACTTACGAAATGTTAGTTAAAGTTAGGCCCCATACATTTATCATAAATATAATACACTTCTTTAGAACGCAGTAAAACACTTGCCAAACATAATACTACAATTTAAACTCGGTCAGCGTACGGTGATGTCAATTCTGTATTTAGAAATGATTTCATTTTAAAGTACTACGTAGGTAATATTAACCCTATGAGGATAGTGTCCTTTCTCACGTAATAGAAATATTTAATTTATTTCTCAAACAAAATATAAATCAGATCTACAGGGGATCAAATATCCAAATATGTGTCCTACTATTTATATCAACAGTTAAACACTTGGTCAAACGATTCAAGAAGGAAGTGTTTTATGTAATTTCACTATAATTCAGTTCACTTTTATTGTTTAAGTTATTATAAATTTCAAATAGAATTGTTGAAATTCACAGGAAAATATATATTTTTCGGATAGGACTATCAGTTATTCTGCTCACTTTTGAAAAATAATGTTTATGAAATGAATTATGGATAACCATGTCAATGCTTTCTTAATTAATTGCTTATTACATTCATACATAAAAATATGACATACTTAAGAGGATCATGAGGTATAATAAAATGTAATTGTACAGTTGAGTGCTTGTTTTTCTGTAAATTTGATTGTGCTATCTACAAAGACAACACATAAATCAGCAGATTATCGGATTTGTTTCTTTTTCCAGGTTTCATGCCTTTCTAATTAGAAAGTGAGAAAAAATTAGAATGGTTAAAACACTTACATATATTTCATTTATAGTATTTTTTGTTACTGTTATATGCATTGCTGTTGTTTTGACCGTTCTTTTATTAATTCCGACCACTATTCAAAACGATGAAATTCGCCTTCGAAATGCAAATGGAAACATACGATGTGGAGCAACTTTTTATCGTTTACGTAATTTTTTAAACAATGTAAGTTGTTTTTTTTAATATATATACATATAAAAACTTTATATAAAAAAAATCTACCTATGCACAAAAAGACATTATCAAAAGAAAACATTGCGAACAATAATTTTGTTTCCGTTTGTTTTCCTTTGTCCTTTGTTTTAGTGGGATAGGTTTTCTTTAATATGTATCATTTATTCAAATGTACGGCCTTTTCATGAGTTTTAAATAAATAAGTATATAAACATACCTTAATTAATTGCCCGATGTTATATCGGTATACTTTAAATTACATTTTTATATTTATAAAATTTATAGAACATTGCAAAGGCATACGTTAAAGTGATGCAAGAAGATAGAGAGCGGCAACAGAAGTACCTAGAAGACAACAAAGCTCGTTTGATGAGCCTTGTAGATCAATCTTTCTGGGAAGCAAGGCCGTCAGCCAGTTTAAAAGGGAAAGAACAAACTGACGCAACAACAGGTATAAAATGATAGACTATGCAATGACATGACAGGTGAAAATCTGTAGAGAAATTCAAATGCAAAATATTTTTGCATCTTTAAAATTTATTTTATTGGACATATTCACCATTTATAGAAAAAAGATGATTGATTCTTTTATTTGCATGCAAATTCATGTATAGATAAAAACAAGACTTTTATTGTTTCTAAAATTTCTTTGTTTAAGAATATTTACGAATATCAAATAACTTCCACATTTTTATATGAATGATAAAAGGACAAAATATGATTTCACTGAAATAAAAATATATATATTATAGAAATAAAAGTTGCTGAAATGGCTCCTATTAGGGAATGGATGTACGATAAATATCCTCATAGCACAAGCAGTTTTTTAAGGAACGGAGTACGCTATAGAAACGGTCGACTTGTTGTACCTGTTGATGGAACATACTTTCTATATTCTCTAATTGATTTCTTTGAACCCTGTGATCTTTCAACTGGAAAACCAAATATTGAAGACTTGAGGAAACCTATCAAGCATGCTCTGTTTAAATACAATATAAATACAGCAGAAACTGAGATAACTTCAAACATTCAACCTCATCAAATTTCAAGAAACAAATTTTATAATTCATACAGTAGCTATGTGTCTACTATTGCAAGTCTGAAAGCAGGTGATGAAATTTCAGTAAAAGTAAGTAATATAACATACCTGAGACACACAAATGATAACTCGTTTGGACTTTACCTGATATGAATTCAGAGAACCATGAGGGAAAATCTGCTTAAAAATGTGCACCAGTTTAACAGTGACTCGAAAACAAAATTTCATCAGTTAGTGTAAGTGGAGGCAAAATAGTAGTTTTGATCGTTGGCATGTTACCGGAGATTATAAATCTTATTGCAATTGATTATAAGTTATAAGTTACTGTTTTGCTAACTAACAATGTTTAATTCCATGTGTTTTTTATATTCATCATCCATTCTTAGTGATCGCACTATATCTTCAAGATATTCGTTTTAATTGCAATTTAAACTATTTCTGGTACGTTTCTAGGGACGACCGAATGCAGCTTAATTATTTGTTGTCTGTTTTTTTGTGTATTGTCTTCGTTATAAAGGTATAAACTTGTTTAAAATGATGCGTTAATATTTATAATTTTATTATATTCATAGGTTTAAGAGTCATTATTTAATTTCTAGCAATTTTGATAATTTAACCGATATTTTTCTGTCGGACCAACCATTTTCTTGTCCTAATTTCCACAACTTTAGTACACAAACCACCCACTTAAAAATTGTTATGTTTGGGCTGTATTTTAGGTTTGGTTGGCCAGCAGAGTCTTGCCAGAACTGCAGAGGAAAAAAACCCGTGTCATTGATTTCCAAATTTGGGTGGATAATTGATAAGAGCCTTCTGCTACATAACGTATAAAAGTAATTTAACCTTTTTTGATAAATACCGATTTATTTATTCAGAGTAAACAGCAATGAACTACATGGATTTTATTTCAGTGATTTAATCTTTAATTCTCGTTTATATTAGCAGTCTTTAAAATAGAATATTGAATGTTGGAATATTGAACTGCTTAACTAAGGTTAATCACGGTTCAGTGGTACGCTATTGTTTCGTGTAGTCTTTTAAAGAAGGTACACGCATTAAGCCTAATAACTCATCAAATTAAAAATAACACTAATTTATTTAACGATTTAATATAAATAGGAATTGAAAGATTAGTATTAGAACAGAATATATTAGATTAGAAATGGACAAAGACAATACTGTAGGCATGATATAATTTTAGATCTACGAAAGGCATTTGATAGAGTTGATCACACCATACTGCACACAAAATGTCAAGCATCTGGTAACGACCTTTTTTACATGGTTCAAGTCTTATCTCCCAGATACACAGCAGCTGGTGGATGAGGCTAGTACTCATTCTGCTACTGCCCCCATTAACTATGGTCTTCCCAGGAGTCCATTCTAAGTCCTCATTTATTTTTAATATATTTCAATGACATGTCTGCTGTCATAAGCAGTAAGCGTTTATTAAATGCTATCCTTGTATGTGGTAAAAATAAATCTTAAATTGAAGAAGTCCTATGACACGAATGTTATAACATTCATTATGATTTTTTGTGGTTTTAATTTAAAAACGATTCGCCACTCTTAAGCGCTTTGTGCTCTGATAAAGTTCTAGGCCCATTTCTGTTTTTACCCAAATGGGTATCTTATGCGACTGGATAGACGGAATATGTGAAGATTCCTTTGACATGTTAATCGTAACTCTCATATCTAAAGATGATCATAAAGAGCAAGATTCATTACTTTTTCATACAGTTTTGCTTGATAGTCATACTTTCGTGACATCATGGCCTCCAAGTAAAAAAATGTGTGTGCCCTAAACTAATTAAAAATTGTACGAAAAGAATAAAATAAAAGTTTATAAGGGATCTGAAGTTATGAAACCTGTATAGCTCTCAAAAACAAATTTTAAAAGTAGGCAACATATCTTTCCACATACCACAATCATAAAGATACAATCGTGCTAAACGATTTACAAGGATCGGATAATAAAACTCTGATTGATAACTAGAAATCTAATTTGTCTTATCTTAAAGAAACAAAATATTCAATTCAGTACCTCAGTTCGTTTTTTTCATGCTGCATTGTGTACATCTGCGTTTTTCTAATTTTGTAAATCTCATAATCAATTATACCTATAAGAAATATGATGCTTTTTGTTCGGATGGTTACACTGACTATCAGTATGTTCCTTAAGATCAGATCGGATCATTAGATAAGTCATATAAAAATTTTACAGTTGTAATCAAATAGTCTATATAATTTATATATAAATCACTCATATAGAAGTATCATCCATACATTTCAATTACAAATTGTAAAACATATAATCAGAAAATTGTCTGTAAGGTCATTCTGATAAGAATTATGAGACTTAAACATAATGAAAGTGGAATTAACTCCTCAGCCCATACTGCAAATACTTCCAATATGTACTGAAGAGTTATCTATCTTTTCTATGCTTACTTACAGTATAACAATTGAATTAGATTCCAATGCCCGTATCGATTTTGGAAAATAATAAGCTGGCAAGGTTCTTCAGTTTTAACTAAATAAAAAAAATGAAAAAAAAAAATCTAGAACTGAATAGCAGCTGTTTCTCAACATTTAATGTCATTTATTTATTTCTTAACCTTTTACCCCATGAGCATATTGCGAAAAATGGCCTTTTTCATTGAAAAGCCTCCTGTAACAAGTTCAAACTGCTATGAAACTATGAACAATGCTTCAATGCTGATGAAACTTGGCACAAAAGTTGACTAGACCATAGCCTCTGTAACAGCATGCTCAATCGTAAACTTCATGTTACCATGGTAACGGGGGACGTCTCAAAATTGCCAAAAATCACTATTTTGCATTGTTTTTTTTCCCATCAAAACTGATTTCGAAGTGCTGCAACTTCTCAATGAATTGAGATAAAGTAAAAGGCTTTTTAGCGTCGGTTACTAGTTACCCTAAGATCGACCTGAGGCCATTTTCAGCCTGTCACATGTCCAAAATTTTCTTGGCGATGAGGGGGACGACGCCCCCTTCAAACCTCCCAAACAGAAGGGGGCACAAACCTCCTTCTGGCAACCCCCTGAGGTAACATTTGGATGGGTGACGGCGCCGAAAAAGTGGTCACTTTTTTAACAACATTTCCCAAAGGAAAAACAGTGTTTGGGGCCTAAATAGTGCATTTTTTTCACTGTTTGAGGCCTCAAAAGGGGGGGGGGGGGACAAAAAGCCGTCGAAACACGCTTATATAAGGGAAAAGGTTAAGGAAATCTTATCAAAGTATATCCGACATTGACAAATAATGATACACATAAAACGCAGTGAATATAATCTTCAGTTCTCAGGTATGTTTCATATCTCCCGGCATCGAGTCTAATCGGAGCTACACCACATTTAAATTTAGCTAATATCTAGTACATTGCAGACTTTTTTATAATGTAAATTAAATTATCATCATAAATCATATGAAATATCTTAGCCTGAATGATTATTTATATGACTGAAATAAATGGGAAATTTTGGCTGCCAGTAATATATCGTGTAATTCCCTTTAAAAATATTTTATATTCTCAATGAGAGAAGACTTAAAATAGGATACGATCGTTATTTATTTTTTGTTTTGTTATGTTAAAAGCATATCAAATTATCTGATAAAATGATATTCTTTTTACTCTTTCTAATGAAAAAAACAACTGTTAAACAATGTCGGATAATGACCTAAGTATTCAGTTAGTTCATTAAGTGGGCGTAATTTGTTACATGTATTCTATTGTCATTTCGAACATTTTATAATACCTAGATATGTATGACAGATATAATGCCACTCTTTATATTTAATTATTTAACTTCCTTGTTGCAAATATTTCCGTTGTTCCATTTGTGTGTCCAGCTAATGAACCTTTACCTTTTAAAATGAATATTTAAAATAAGAGATGGATTCTGACTGAAAAAAGAATTGTGTGTAAGGGGTATTAAATAACATTGGTAGATATATAGGATATATATAGGACAGATACTATGCCCTGTTTAAACCATATAATACCATTGATAACAAATAATGAATTAGCTCAATGTTTTAATTATAGTACTTTGTATGGGTTATCACACTGAATCTAAATTTAGATGACCAATTAATGCAAATGACATTTCAACTTATATGTCATAAAGTACTACTTTGTTTATATTTGTTATTGAGTGACACACAATATGTAAACAAACATATCTTTAAGCTTATCATAAAATCATAATTCACAATTATAACAAAATACCCACAGTTATTAAAATACCCAAGTTGATAGTACACAAGAGATAGCGTGAATACGATGAATATATTTGATCCGAAATCCCGATAAATTGTTTTTTTCTTCTTTCTAAATGTGATATATATTCTAAAAGGAGTGATTACGTAAAACAAAAACACCCATAAGCAGTTTTTAAAAAAGTCCCATGGTTTACAAAAGTAGTTAGCTGTTTACAAAATATCAAGATAAAAAGATCGTGTACCAGCTAATGATGTTTCATAACACGTACAAATGGCCACAACACTAAAATGTATATCCATTTTTGTAATATGTATTGTATTTATTTTCCTCGTTGTAGCGTGGCTTATCTGTTTTCCAACATTTACAAAAAATTATGACATATGTCTTCCTAAAGAAAAATGGACTTGTTAAATGCGGAAAAACTAATGATTTGATAATTGAATATTTAGAACAGGTAAGTTAATTTCTTCTTTAATAGATTCTAATTGCAAAACAAATATTAAATTGGAAAATTCCTAAACCCGATTTATTCGTTATAAAGAACATAAAAAGTGTTTTTTTGCATTTCCAATTTATCCGACGATTATGCTAACTCAGAAAAACGTACAGATATTTCAAATGTCGTGTAGAATTAAGTTTTGGTTGGGATTTACGCCACACTAACACAGTTTATGTCACACGGCGACTTTCCATCTTAACTGGTGGATGAATACCTCAGGTGCCCATCCGTGCATAATTGCAGACACTTACGGGTACCTTATTAAAACCACCAATCTCTAAGCTAGTTGTACAACTTCCTCACATGAAAAAATCCACAGCGTAGCGGGGCAAGAGGTTTAAAGTCAACGATATGAGCCACTCGGCAAGGATGCCGCTAATAATAAATTTTCCGTCATACAAAATATCGCTACATTTATATAAATGAAATTACAATGTCAATGTTTGAACTGTAGAGCATTTCAAAAGCATATGTTGAGGTAAAAAGGAAAGATACAGAGCTGCAACAGAAATATTTAGAAGACAATAGATTACGTTTGATGTCAATATCGGACCAAACGTTTTGGGAGGCAAAGCCTGCTGCAAGAGTAACTGGAAAAGAACAAAGCCATATACACAAAGGTAGTCAAAACTAACTAAATTTTTGTTGAACAAATCAATTATCAATGTCAGATCATTCTTCTATTAACACATTTCATTCAAAACTTTCTATTTTTTGACAAATTAAACTTACAACCAATAGATGATACTTTATGCTCATGTAATATTCAAATAGTAAAAGTAATAGTTAAATCAGAAAATTTTATAATTCAGATGACAAGAGTCTTGAAATGGTACCAGTTAGAGAATGGAGGCATGGTAAAGAACTTCATGACTCGAATGGATATTTACGATATGGGGTACGATACAGACACGGTCGTCTTGTTGTACCAGTAGATGGAACCTACTTTTTGTATTCATTTCTTGATTTCTTCCAGTCATGTGATTCGTCAACTGGCACGCCAAAAGTTGTCAACATCAATATTGCGATCAAACATGCAATTTATAAAGTCAATATATATGATAAAGCCGAAACAGAAATTATTTCAAACGTTCAACCTCACCATATCTCAAAGAACAAGTATTATAATTCATATAGTAGCTATGTGTCTACTATTGCTATTCTAAAAGCAGGTGACGAGGTTTCAGTTAAGGTCAGTAATATAACGTACTTGCGATACACAAAAGATAATTCTTTTGGACTTTACCTTATATGAATCCGCGGTCCTCTGCCGCAAGTGATATCTTTAATTGTACATTTATTAAACAAATGTTTTTGAAAAAAAATGCTGACCTTTATGATATGTAATCAAGCAAGCTCATATATTCTACCTTTTCAAGTCAGTATATCATTTGGTTTAAACAATATTTATTTTCAATAAATTGATTACATAATATATCATACAAAGTACACAAGAATAATTACAGAGCGATTTTACATTAAAACTAAACTAAAATGTATACAGAAATTATTAGGTGTACTAAACATGTAAACTATCAGAATAGAGGAGAAAGCTAAAAGCTTGTGCTATCATTTACTGACCGTTATTAATTTTTTTGCAAAATTACTTTGCATAAGTAGATGCGAAATCAAAATATATTGAACTCATTGGAGACTAACATCTTTAGGAATTATTTGATGCTTCTGAAAAACATGCAAAAAACCTTATTCAGCGAACTATTCAGTGCATGATTATGTTACAAATATTATTTAATGATACCATACTTTGAATAATATATGTTAAGTATTTTGTCAAAAGATGTAGAAAAAGCTTGATGTAATAATTAAAATTGTTAATGCAGCTGTCTTTTGACAGATAATTAAGTCCACATAAGAATGCAATATGATTTTATTTCACATTAAGCAAGTTTTGAATTTTATTGTGAAATGACGCTTGCATGACATATTTTCATATTTATATGCTGATGTTTGAATAAAGAATTATTTCTAATCAAAGATTAATTACCGTATACCATTAATTTTTTGCCATTTGAACAGTTGTTAGTTTACACATATATATGTTTATCATTTTCTTGAATATATTGTCATGGTAAATTATAAAAGACATATAAAAAATGCAACAATTACATGTTATACTCTTGGAACCAGACGTCCGAAGCCCTCTCCCCCATCCTTCCTCGAAAATATATCTTCCCTGGTACAACCTTATGTCGAGCACATTCTATCACTTAGTTTTCCTGAGTATATATACTGCAAAATGTGTAAAACTTGTTGTAATATTCTACAGATGCTAATATAAACAACAGGTTTTTCAGTTTCATATTAGCATTTGAAAGACACGTTATGGCTGAGTAGCAAACACATTTTTAATTCTTTAGAAAACGTTATGGCTGAGTAGCAAACACATTTTTAATTCTTTAGAAAGGGCAAAAATGAGAAATGGTTTTAGAGCATGTTAGATGTAAGATGTCACCTTCAACTATAAATGTGAAACAATTGTTAGTGAGGTAGAAAAATGTAAATAGGGAAGTATTTTGACTTTCATACAAGATACTTAATCACTGTGATTGGATTAAAGGAAAAGGCAATTGGGTTTTTAACAAAGATTTTATTGTTTCCTTTTAAAAAAACGATTTTTCCAAGAAAATACATTTTATTTCTGATGGTATTTTGAAAAATATTACATAAACCCTTTAAAAACAACAAAAGACTACTTTTTTAAAAAATTTTGACCTGTGGTGTTTAAAATAAATTTTTGGGGTTTAAAATTTTTTTTTTACTTTTTTATCCAAAAATCATTAAAATGTTTTTCTTGGGCATTTCGGCTAAATTTTTAAAAATTTGTTTATTATTTATTTTTAACCCTCGAATTAATACAGGTTAAAAGGTTCTACAATGTAAAAAAAATAGGGGGTGTATAAGGAATAATGATTTTAATTTATGTACATGTCAGGGAAATAAAAATTCTATTTTGAAAATTTGGACACTGATGAAAGGAAAAAAAATTTGCGAAATTTATTTTAAATGTATAAATTTTAATGTTTTTCTTTTTAACATAGTTAACAACTTAAATTTCAACACAATTTTAATTTGTTTCTTGAGGGGGTTGCCCTTAATTACCTTTCCCCTTCTGTGGTATTCTTATTTTTTTCAAAGTCCTTTTTCTGTGGGAAAGGGCCGCCCAGTTGCGATTGAAAGATATATGATTTGTTTTCAAAATTTTAAAGAATAAAATATACCCTGATTTAAATTTAATTACAAAACTAAACATTGAAAATCTTGTAAAAGGGTAATTTTTACCCTTTTGGGATCTCTCTGTTTTGGGTTCATAAAGCTCATTTTAGAGAACCCATCGATTTTTTCCGCGGCCCAAAAGATAACATAAACCATTCTGATTTTCGTCATGAGAAAAATTAAAAATAAAGGGACAGTTGGTATGTGAAGGGTTGCACGACTAAAACATTTTTGGAGCTTAATGCCTCCAGTGAGTTAAAACAAAAGTGTCAAGAAAATCAATTATACGAAAAGTGTATTAAGATTTTAAGGAAAGTAAATAAAGGAAAGTACAATTTACAAATCAAGTAATAATATACTTTGCATTATTCATCACGGTATTTCTAAGTGTTATTTTTGGCATATTTTGACATTGATTTGGTAATTGAAAATACCGTTGTTATTGTGTAACATACTGTCTTATTCACTGGATAATACTTTATTATAAATTACTTTTCAAAATTTTCATTAAAAATACATGATGATTTATGCAAAAAGGAGTATCATTTGTTACACAAAGTTCAAAACAAAACTAGTAAATTTATATGAAAATAGCTATATTAATGTAAAATATGAGCCAGTTGAAGTGCATCATTGTCATTTTGTCAATAGATCTAATAAATTACAAAAGCTAACATTAGTACAGTCCCTGAGGACCTTTTGTGTGCAAAAAAGGTCCATGGATAAATGTTATACCAATGTAAAGCTAAATGTTTGAAGTTTACAAAAAATTTGGGTAGACATGTCAAATCATGGTACGTTTTGAGAAATCCAAGATGGCCGCCAAGATGGCCGCCAAATTATTGAAAAATGGCTAATATGCATTTTATCTGATAAAATTAGTTTTTTTTTGTATTTATTTTGGTACAGGTGATGTTAAAAACTTCACATCCTATTGGAACAATATAAAAATGGAGGCATTTTTATTATCATTTCATATTCTCTGAATTTCATAGATAAATTTGCTAAAAAATGCATGGAAAAATGATCAAAAATTGATATGGGGCTTGAAATTTTTTCCTACCAGCTAAGGCATAGCGGTGTAAATGAGTATTTTTACCATATACTACAAAGACCTGAACAATATCATACTAATATCACCCTTATTTTTTATCTTTATTGTAAAAGAATGTGGATTCTGATATTCTTAAAGTGGGTGGGGTAACGAAAATTAAGTCTCAGTATTTTGTTAACTGGTTTGTTATGATAATTTAAACTATGAATAGTCAACATGTATTGCACTTTAGCATGTACATAAAGTTATAAATAATTAAGAAACTTAGACTGATAATTTGTTTATCAATATTCAACATGTTCTGTTGCCATGGCAACGGAGAAGTAAAATGAAAGACACACCTGAAACGTATGACACTTTCAACTTTTAGCATTTTAAGCATGTTGATAAGAATAACAGAAACTTAAAGATAAATAATCTGTCAAA